GCTGTAAGCTCTAACACCTACACCTGAGCTGTTTTTCTATGGCGCTTTAACAAAGTATGAAAAACTAGGTGATTTAAAACAGCAAAATTAGGTACTCTGACATTAATGTCTAGGTGTTTGGATTCAAGTTCCTACCCTTTTCATGCTTTCTTTGATACTCTGAATATCACCTGACTATATGTATTCTTAGCTTTGGGTAGGGGCCATCAATTCCTGTTAATACTTCATTCGCAGTGGGGTCCACTCTCTCACTATCGTCATGTGATATTTCCCTCTGTGTATAATTAGGGCAGCTTGCTGCCTTAATAGTCTTATTTTAACACAGTTGTGTCTGTGAAGACCCTATGTTTGAATGAATATTCACAAGTACCAGTTGTACCATAATTTTAAGGAGAGACGCTTTATTTCAAAACAACAGTTCTGGCTCCGAATTTAGAGAAGATGGTTTCACTATGGGATAATAAAATTACATAGTGGTCTCAGCTATGCTTTGTGCATGTGTGTGTGTGTGAGAGAGAGAGGGAGTGTGCATGCACATATGTGTGAGTGTGGTAGGGTGTGCATATTGCAATGTTCAGGTTAATAGATACTTAAGCTCTACATTTAAAAATCTTAATTATATGGTATTTATATCAATAGATACAATGTGCTATCTTGACATATATTAAACATTAAAAATCGTTATCCAGAAGTCATACTTTTTATTAAATTGTATTGGTATTTGTGTACTGTGTTCTTGCATTACAACTTCAGATGCTCAATTGTGATAGGGGATAATATCTATGAAATTGAGAAATATATTTCTCTTACAGTTTAATGACTACTTTTCAAAGTTTTAATAATTAAATTGAAAATAGTACTTCCTTTGTGCCTTGTTCTCATCCTTCAACCAACTGATTTATTGTTTATATGTCACAATTAGTAAACCAATATTGATATAAACATTAAAATGCAAGTTTACATTAGCCTGCATATTTGGTGAACATCTTTTTGATTCTGACACATGCAAACTGGCATGTTTTCAACCACTGCAGATTCACAAATAACTTCTTCCCTCCTTTGAAAACTTCTTGGAAGTCCAGTGCTGTGAGGTCTACTGTGTGATTCTCACTGTCAGCATCTTGTGGAGTGGAAAATATAGAAACACTTTCCGGCTTTGCTCCTCTGGTTCAGGGTGCAGAGAGACAGTCTGCACGCTTATATGTGGTGATCTGAGCAACTTCTGCGACGACAACAATTTGCAGTAGAACAACCATTGGTGAATTCCTACAATCCTGCTTAATGAAACTGTGTATTGTGTCTAATGTCCTTTTAAATTATTATGTTCTTATTCCCTTTAATGATTTGATCAATCTTCTACTTTTCATCTGGTTCTGAGCAACTTCATTGAACATAACAATATGTAATATAACAACCACTGTTAATCCCTATCATTTGGTGTGAAACCCCATATCATTTTTAATGTTCTTGCTTTATTTTGTTTGTATTTTGCTATTGTTCTTTTTTTCTACTGTTTTCTTTAAAATAAAAATTAAAAAAATAAAAAAGATGCTCGCTAAATATGAAGGCTAATGTAAACTTGGACTTTATTTAGTGTATATACATCACTATTGGCTTATGAATGGTTGCATATAAGTAATATGTGAATTGTAGAGGGATGAGATTAAGGTAAAAAAAGAAATGCTATTCTCTTTCTTTTGTAGAGTTTTTTTCTTTTTTTATTTCAAAGAGAAGGAAATTGTATTTTCACTTTAATAAACCCAGAACTAAAAAGTAAAGCCACAATTTTTTTTTTGTCTTTTTTTGAGACAGGGTCTTGCTATACAGTTCAGGTTGGCCTTGAGCTCACTTTGTGGCCCAGGCTGGTCTCGAACTCGCAAGGATCCTCCTGCCTCAACCTCTCTAGTGCTGGGATGAAAGGCATGCGCCACCATGCCCAGCTTAAAGCTACAAAATTTTAAGGTAAATGATATTTCCCCTTTGGCAAATATTATTCCATGTTATGATTAAGCATTTGAGGACTAGGTATGGTAAATAAAAATATAATGTAAGTAAAAAGTATACAAAGTTCAATTAAATTTTGTAAATATATAACATCAATAATAATTTTAATATTAAATATATGTCAAGATAATAATACATCGCGTCTATTTGCATAAACACAATATATAATTCAGATTTTATAATGGAGTGTTCATATACCTGTTAACGTAGCCAATGCAACAGGTACCAATTTGCACACTCTCATATGGACGCACATAAACACACACACGACCACAACAACTATGAGCTGAAACCACTACAAACTGTGAGCTACTGTAAACCTTTCCCCTTTTAACTTTGGAGGTTGGGTATTTTGTCTCAACAGTGACAAAAAGTTACTAAGATAATGTGTAATGAGACTCGGTTGTTGCTATTACTGAACCTGACCGTGTGGTTCGGGGGACTCTGGATCTCACTCACGCTAAGAGTTTGGAAAGGTTTGGAGACGCCGTGAACTGTTTCTCCCCTTCAGTGTCCCTGTGCCCCGCCACTCTGCCCTGGAGCCAGCTGACTGTGGTCTGAAACCTCTACAAACTGTGAGCCAAAATAAACCTTTCCTTCTTTAGCTTTGGTTATCGAGGATTTTGTCTCTGCAATAAGAAAAGTAACCAAGACACACAGCTGTGTCAGCTTCATCAAAGCAGCCTCCTCACAGTCCAAAAATACTCCTGCTCACATCCAATTGGCCTGAATTTTCCCAGTACATTTTAGCTGCTAGTGAGACCATGAATGCTAGCCCTTTGCTGCTGTATTGCTGACTTGAATAAATCTGAGTCTTCTATACCTGAGGGGTCTATGCAGTGTGCATCCATGTTTATTTTCTATTCTAAATTCAAAAATAAAAAGGAAGAATTAAAAGCTATACTCAGGTGTATTTTTTTCTCAGTAAATCTCCTTTATCTTGGTGTTTGTTCATTGCTAAGTGGAAACATATGTTGGCCCGGACGATGCCTCAGTTAACTAAAGCAAGTGAAGATAAGTAAGACTCAGGAAGATAACTGTCTGCTACAGAGGAATTCACTTCAGCAGATCATTCAGCTGGACAAGGACTTCCTTGTCCTCTTGGTCTGAAGCCTCTACAAAGGGAGAGGCCTCTTCCGGATTAAGCAGAACACAAGGCAGATAGTTGTTTAGACCAGACAGGGCAATGATAAATTATTTTTCTAGTTTTAAATTTATTATTATTGGTAGACTATACTTAATGTAAAAAAAAAAGAGAAAAATTCTCCATCTTATTTTAATTTTGTGTTTACACCTTCCCTCTATACTTTTATTCACTTATTCTTGGACTTGTCCCATTTTTGCTGCTGACGTTCACTCTTCCATCCGTCTGTCCATCATTTAGTCCATCCACTGATCCACTCATGCATGCAGTCCATCCCTTGATTTAAGCAACAATTTTTATTGCTTGCATAAGCTTAACAATCCAAACAAGGATGGAACTACAAAGACATTCAGTAATGCCTCAGTTTAGAGATGATTCTGTTTGCAGACATTTCAGTTCACAAACAAAAGCTTTTGACAAAATTTTGCTTCAATTAGCAAACTCCACAAACAAGACCACAACCATCTTCACCACAGAAGCACAAACACAACCATCTCCCTCAAAACTGTGAAACAAATTTAGTTTGTGAGCCGAGACACCCTGTCAGATCGAGTAATGCATTCAAGATGGATGCAAGTGCGCTAAACATACTTGACATAGTCTCAATAAAGAACACCACACCTGAGTAAGGTTTTACACAGGTAAGAATTATTCCTCACTAATAAGAATATCTCTAAAATTAACAAGTGCTAGAAAAGACTTGAAAACAAATTAAGGGCTTTATATATACAAATATGTTTTTATTAGTTATAATGTAAGGCCTCAAAATGGAATATAAACATAATATTTCATGGCAAAAACATTAGGTTGTCCTATTGAAAAGAAAAGTAACAGAAACGATTCCATGGTTGTCTTTTTATCAAGCATCATTGAGAGGTGTAAAGAAAAAGCAGAAATAACATCTATAAGTAAAGGAATAGATAAGATAAAGCTAGGTTTATAAAAAAGAGTATTCGGCTTAAAAGTTCAAGTGACCCAACATACACGAGCATAAGGTCAAATTTGATACAGGAAATAAGATTTTTCTTTATGAAATATAAAGTACATGAAAATGAGATAGATAAATTCTTTTCACATTAAAAATAGGCTCTAAAAAATCCAGGGATAAATATGTGAACCAAATGACGGTGTATAACTTATTTATCTATGAGCATAACATATGTAAATCAAGATAGTAATGGATACATTTCTTACATTAATAAGGGATGATTAAACAAGAGAAATGGAAATATTTATACAACTATTGATAGAAAAACTCACTATAGCAAACTGGGCATCCCCTGAATTAACATATACATTTCGTGTTCAATACATTTCGTGTTCAAGAGAGTTGATTATAGCAAATTACCAGCCATTCCTAGAGTTCTGAAGGCGTAAGAGAAGAGATTTCTGCAGAAATAGCCTAGGGGATGTTGAAAGGCAGGTATGACAACAGAAATGCATAACTGTTAATCAAAAAATACTGTAATCAACATTTTTTGAAAAGAAAAAAATTAATGAACTATATCAGAGAACTCACAAATATAATGATCTACAGAAAAAATTAACATACTAGACATTTGAAAAAATTATAGAAAAATCCAAATGTTGCAAGATAAAACTAAATAATATAATAAAACTTAAGGATAACTATTAAAATTGATTTTAGATTTCACTGGAGAAACAAAAAATCCAAATAAAATTTAAATAGAAAAAGTGATTATTAGAAGAGTTAGTGAATTTAAGACACAGAAAGAAGCAGGAGTCTTTTGTTTGTTGAAGTAAATATTCTGTTACAAGTTCGTATCTGATGGAAAATTGGTGCATATTGTTCAGATCCTCCATATATTTTAGAAAAGCATACATTTTTAACTTAAGAAGGGTTCTTTATTCCAGATTTTTTAAAATCTCTGAACCCATGTAAAGAATTCCTATCTGTTCTTAACAAAATGATGTAGCACTTGGGGGCAAAGATGCAGCCCACCAACCCTGCACTGGAGGCCAAGATGGAGAAGACCTCCATGGCCACCATGACCTTCCCCTTGGTGCTGTGGTACACGGGGAGGAAGGTGACCCACACGCTGCAGAACACCAGCATGCTGAATGTCAGGAACTTGGCTTCATTGAATGTGTCGGGCAGGTTCCTGGCCAGGAAAGCCACGGTGAAGCTCAGCAGGGCCAGGGAGCCCAGGTATCCCAGCACACAGTAGAAGGCAGTGAGGGAGCCCTTGTTGCACACGATGATGATGTGGCCATGTTCAGAGTGAGCATCTGTGTCAATGTAGGGCGGATTTGTCCCCATCCAGACGCCACAAAGAGCGAGTTGGATCAGGGAGCAGATGGGGATGATGGAGTTTGGTGCCCCTGATATCAGCAACTGCCTCACCCTTCTGCCTGGAGCAGTCACCTTAAAGGCCAGCACCACAGTAATGGTTTTGGCCAAGACAG